GTAAAAATAAAATTGGAATTGTTAATTTTTTAATAGTAACTGAAAGAGAAATTGCTTGTTTACGTGAAAACTTAACAACAAATAACCAAAATAATTCCAATAAAATGAAAATAACTCCAACACTTCCTGTATATCTGAATATATAATTACAAGTATCTTGATATATAGTATGATTTAAAATTTTTGTAAAAAAACTTTCAAGTTCATCTATATTTTTTAAACCATTAATAGATACATATTTTAATGTAATATCATTTTTCCAAAACCATGCCGTAGGTACAAACCAACAAATAAAAGAAATTGTACTAAATAATAAAAATAAAGATGCTATAAATCCAATACTTATATTAATTGAAGATTTAAGAGTTCTTTTAGGGTGTAAAAATGCTTCTTTATGAGATACAAGTCTAAATATTGAAACAAGCATTGTAATAATACTAATAGCAAGAAATATATAAGAATATGAATTTATACCACTGAAAATTGCTCTAATAATTAATTCTGGTCTATAATATCCTGATATTATACTTTGAAATAAGCTTGCATTTACAATCACTTTAATTCCATCAAAAGGATTATAAGTTATAAAATCTACAGTTATACTTTTGATATCACCACTAAAATATTCTTTATTTAACAAATAATCTAATGTAGCCAAAGCATTAGGTACATCATATGGATATATATAAACTGTACCATTTTTCATTGCAAAATTATCTGAATTTGATTCAATAGAACCTATTAACTTATTCTTTTCACTGTTTAAATTATCTTGATAAATCCTTATAGGAGTTATTAATGGATTATAGAAGTTTTCCTCAAAATCCAAAATAAGTGGAAATAAAATGAAACCCATCCAACGAATATAATCAGCCAATGTCTTGATATTATAAAAAGATCCCCAACCACAAGGTAAAACAAAATTATTAAGTGTAATATTAGAATATTGAATTGAACTATTTGCTATAACAATACTATCAACCAAATCAGTAGAATACAAATGAGTAAATCCATTCTTCAAAGATGTTTCATTCATACTAGCTATACAACTAGAATATATATTTGGTTGCATTGCAATTGTTGGATCCTTCAAATTATTGAGTATTAATTTTCTTGTATCAACAGAAAAGTCATAATATACAATAGATATTAAAAGAGAAAAGCATAATAAAGTAAATATTAACAGTTCAATGACTTTTGGCCATCCAAATATATTATTATTACGCTTAATCAAATTTAATGAAGATGTTTTACTACTCAACAAGGAATTCCAAAAATTTTTTAATTTATCTTTATTATTAGCTAAGTGATTATCAGGATTATTATAAGATATATTTGGTAAAATATCAAATGGAAATATTTTCTCTCTATATATTTCAATATTATTTAATTCATATTGATTCTCTATATTACCACTAAAATTTGAATGAAAACTACTTCGTATTTTTTTTTTTTTTCCACTATTAGCTGAAAAAGTCCTTGGATATCTTCTTTCTGATTTTTTTTCAATATATGAAGGTTTACTAATTTCTTTCTTAGATTCTAGTGGCTCATAGTCATATATTATATTAGATTTCTTATATAAACCTGGATAGTTTCCTCTATAATCAATATATTTTGAATTATATGTATCTTTATAATCTCCCATATTTTTAGATCTTCAGTTTATTTAAAAAAAAGCTATTGATATATAATAATAATTACAAATATTGTTATAGATATATTAAAAAATATGCCTATTTTATAGTATTATTGCTACATATATTCAATTTTTTTTTCTTTTCAAAAATAAATATATTAAACTCTACTAATAATGGCATGTAAGAAATATTATTCCTAATATTTAGGCGGGTTATTTATTCTCTAAAACCCTAGCCTCTCAATATTTTTTATTAGATAATAAAATAAGTATTAATAAGTTTCTTTAAAGGAAAAAAGAATATATTATTAAGTATAATATGATTTATTTTAGGTCTCACATTTAGGTATTTTTTATTTTATATTCTCTAAAACAATAAATACCTATGGAAAACTAATCATTATTTTGTATATTAATAAGTCTATCTATAATTTGTTAAATAAAATAAACTTCTCTTCGTCTCTTTTATATTATTTCTTTTGTGATTAAGATTATTATGTCTTTGAGTTCGCTTACCTTTAATTTATACTGTTTAATATTCCATTTTTGAAACGTTTTAGTTATTCTTCATAAATTAAAGGAAATATATTAGATGGCTAATATATTGAAAATAATATGGTATCAAATGATATAAACGAGGAATTTTCCATATTACAAAATATGAATCCAGAAAATAAGGGACTCTTATCAAAATATACTGATAACATTTCAACAGCTATATTAATTAATGGTATATCTAAATGGATAATTATTTATAGCCTTTATCATTATAATTATGCATATGATATATTAAAAACTATTATAGATACAGATGATATTTGTGAATATACAATAATATTTTTATTATCAATATTTGTACCAACATATATATTCTCATCAGGATATATATTAGCTGCTAATATTGAAGTAAAAGCATTTAAAAATGAGTTTAATTTAGATTAAAATGTTATTAGCTCCACCAATGATATTTGTTATATCTAATTTTCTATCATATTTTGTGAAATTGAAATTTATACTTAAGTATATTTGCATTGAAGATTATTATTCGTTATACAATATCAGAAGACCTGGATTTTTATTAATACCTTTTTTATTATATCTTGCAATTAAACTATTTGGTATTATTTTATGTTTAACAGAAATAATGAAATATTATATTGAATATAACGAACAAGATGAGGATGTAAGGTATGTAGAACAGAAAAAGGGATGATATTGAAGAATCAATTAACTATCAGAATAATAATATTAAACCACGATCATGTTGTAAAACTTACAATATATATGTTCTAAATATGTGGAGTAATATTATTTATATTATATTATAGTATGTCAAATTATCAATATTCTATATTACTTTTTTTATGTTCTACTTATCTATTATTATTACTGTTAGTAAATTTATTAAAAAAGAATATTATACTTTATCAATAAATATTTCAATCTCTTTATGTCTTTTTTTTTCAATTGCTATAGCTACAATAGACGTTTTCCGAGATATTCTTGTGATTATAAGTTTATTTTTAAAATACCTTATACCTTATATTTATATAGTTTTTTTCCTTTAGATCTGGTTTAATATTAATGAAATTAATATATTTTTTAAAAATACATTAAATATTATTACCATAGCTTCATTTTATTATTCTAAATATACTATTTTATCTCCTTTCCGTTTTCCACTTTATGCAACTCGTCATACCATAATTACAGCTATATCAACATATTACTTTCCTTTATATATTTTTTCATTAAATAGTAGAGAGGAATAAAGGACAAAGTTTTTTCTGTTTGGTTTTTAACAACATGTCCAAGTTATATATCATATTATATATTACCATTATTTTCTATATTTGAACTGATAGTCAGATTTGAACCAGAGATTTCAATATGATATTTATTTAGATTTTTCAAATTAACTAAGAAGTTAAGAGTTATTAAATATATGAATTATGTATTATTAATAACCTAAAATATTTCGAATTTATATATAAGAATTAAATTTGATTACATCTTAATATAATCTTTTCTAAATCACTAGATGTTAAGTAAATATTCTGTATCGTTAATTTTAATATTAACCCATCAACTTATTAACTCCTAAACATCTGAATTTCTTGTTGTTTTTCTAATATTTATAATTTAGGAAAATATTAACAAAACTTATTACGCCAAATATATCCTTGTATAGTTACTATAGATATATATAGATGAATTTATTTTTAATAAATATATTTCCTTATTGCATAACCTAATTTATCCAGAATATAAATTGATCCATTTCTTATTTTTATTAATATAATGAAATTCTAATCATTGATAAAATTTGCCTTATTTTCCTTTTTAATATTTAAATTTATGCTTAAAATAATCCAATAATTAATTTCCTAAGTTGCATTTCTACTAATTTCAAATCACACTTTATTAATAGTGCAACTAAACTTTGAACCATAATTGAAATTAAATAATTATTCAATGTACATATATCAATAAAACATTACCTTTCAATAGAATATTAAATATTATATATATAATAAGAAGTTAATAGTTCCTTTAATTTCACACTAAATATTGTGTAAAAGAACTAAATTAGATTAATTTAAATCAACCGATTTCTTTTAAAAGAGGAGAAAAAGTCAAACAACAATATTTACAACTTAAGTCCTAAATCCTAACATTACAAGAAAGAAATCTAGAAAATATCTTATTAAAGTGAATATAAAAGTAATAATAACTGCAAATTAACTATTGAGTTGTTGAAATCCCATTTATTTATGAATAAAATTGTACACATAATTATATATTACCCATATTATTTAGATTCCAGTAAAAAAGTATATTTGGACTTGAATACAATATAAAACTTATTTAAGCCAATTATTTAATATTATTTATACGGAGATTTCTAGTATTTGCACTAATATTTGTTCATATGAATACAAAGATGTACAATCAAATGATTTACGATAATAACCAAATCATTACAATTTATTTTCACTAAATCATCTTATAAAGAAATCATCCATATATAATATATTCCAAGATATATATTAAATTATTGAGATATTGTTCCTTGAGAAAAAAGAACTTAAGAAGTATATAGTTATATATGAAATATGAATAAAATATAAGTATTTGTAGCCTTCATTTATAAAATCAAATGTTCCAATTGGAATATTGAAATTATTTTAATTTTTATATCATCTCTTCTTATAAAAATTACAATACATTTAGTATCCCATAATTAACAAAAATATAAAGAACATATTAATATAAGAATCTCAATATATAAGTAGTAGACATAGCTTAATTCAATTATTCATTTTTAACCAAAAAAGTCTTCGTTCTCATCATGCTCTACAGGTTCATTTCTATGGTGACTATTTTGTGATTGTTCTTGACCTCCAGTTTGTTCTATTAATAAAGAATCTAACTCACTTCTCAATTTTTCTAATTTACCACTGCACTCCACCATTTTTCCCTTAATAGTGGAAATCTGTTCGCTTAAATGTACACTATATAAGTCAGCTACTACTTCTTCAAGGAGTTGCCCTTCCAACGTTTGTTCTAATTGCCTTAATTCCATTTCCAATAACTTTGAGTTAACCTCCAAATATTCTATTTTATCTAAAAGTTCATTGATTCTCTCATTTGGGTTCAGATAATCACATTTAATTTTAATCCCAATAAATGACTCCAAATTACTAATATTAGTGTTTCTAGAACGATATGTTAGTGTATAGAATTGAATAATTACAAAAAGTATATATAGATTCATCAATTTAATTCAGGCATATATTAGAATTAACTCAGAAACGTGAGTGAACAATATTAAAGAATAAATCAATATTTCTGATATTTAGTTAGAAACTAATTAAATGTCGTAGACAGAACTGAAACAAAAAGTATTTTAAAAGAGAGATTATATAGGGGAGTTAGATAGGAGGGGGTTAGATAGGAGGGGGTTAGATAGGAGGGGATTAGATAGGAGGGGGTTAGGTTTAGGTTTAGGGGGTTAGGTTTAGGGGGTTAG